AGATGACTTTATTCTTGTAACAAGATGACTTTATTCTCGACTTTATTCCCAGATTGTTCATTCTTCTTTGCCTTTTCTAAAAAGTGCATTAAATCAGTCCTTTATCCAAGCTGGCGCATATCCTGACCTTAGAAAAAGGAGCATGCATGCAGTTAGCCAAGCCCTGTAGCTAAACCAGGCCATGAAAAGAATGTTTGTTCTCTCAGCTCTCCTGCACCCCAAGCTTTTCTATACCTTCTGTATTGCAGAGGAGCTGCTGCAATACTTTTAACAAGAGTCAATGGGCAAAGATTTTTGCGCCCTAAGGCGGAAATACGTCACCAATCTGACGAAAAATGGAAGGACGCTTTACTTGTTATTGAAGATTAAATGTTTTTCTTGCACATCTAAAAAATATATATCAATACATTTCAAAATATTTGCATTTAAATTTAGTGCCCTCTATTGACCAGCCGCCACTGGTTCTAACACACAGCAGGCAGGTATTATAAGGGTTTAACGGACTAAAATAATCCTAACTGCAGAATGATAACCTGAGTTATGTGTTGAGAACCAAAGGAGTTTTATTGACAGTTTGATCATGACGGCTGCTCGTCAAACACGCCTCAGCAGCTTAGATTAAAGGTTTCATGTTTAAAAATGGTCTATTATTCTTTTAATAAATACCTTTAACAGAAACCTTTTTAATCTGCGCTGATACTAAGATGAAGTTTTAACTGTTGTTTTCTCTTACTGTGTCTTAGACTAGACTAACCAAACTAATCTTTATACTCCCCTCCTGCCCCTCCCCCACAGAGGACGCCTCCTTCAACCCCTCCATCTTTAGTGCCTTACCTCCAGGTAAAACAGGGCTCAGCTCTTTCTCTCTTCTTTTCTGCTTTTGTTCCCTTTTTATCTGTTTGTTTCTTTTGTTGGGATTTTATTTGTCAGACCAACACAAAAAAATGGCATAAATGAAAGGTCAGACTAAAACGAGATCTAAGTTCTTTACAGAGAAAAATCAATAGATGTTGCCTGTTTTGATTTGTCAAACAGTCCACTCAGTCCGAGAGTATTAAAAGCATCTAGAGTGACTTGGCCATACTGATGTTTTCTGGGCCTTTTGTAAAAAAAATTCTCATACCAGCAAATTTATTGATTCCACATTTTGAAGATTTCTCCCCAGCAGAGTCAGTAGCAGGTGGCAGTTGTGGTTTGTTTTCTGCGCACCTGTAGCTTCTCTGCTCGCCCGTGTTAGAGAAAGGAAACAGCTTGTGATTGGCTACTGTTCAGGATAGCGCTCCTTGTGAGAAGCCGCTGTGTTTGTGTCAACTAACAGTAGCAGTAATGGGAATTATCTTTTAGCTGACTCCTTTTAGCATCACACCAGAAAAGAACGGAGAATCACCGCCTTCTGCAGAACCTGATTGCAGAGGAGCCCTGATTTAAATCAGGTGTGCTGGAACAGAGACACAGCTAGAAGATGCAGGGCCCTGGGAACCAGTGCTTTCAGACTCAAACAACACAGATTTCATGACCTTTTAATCCTTTCATGCCATTTTTTCTGTGCTATCAGTCATTTCATGGAATACATGCTAACTTTTGTCGTTTCTGTTCTGCTCTGGGCTGCTGCAGACCGTCCAGACCCACCAATGGATCTGGATCTGTCAGACCCACTAGAAAGAAGTGTTCGGCTCACCTGGATCCCTGGAAACGACCACAGGAGCCCCGTTACAGGTCTGTTCTGACCTCGGTTTCCGTTGTCTCTTTGCGAGTCAGGACATATGTGACGCCTCACAGCTAAAGCACCCCCACCCCAGGGCTGAATTAGCAGCCATGGCTGCAGAGTAAGGCTGATGTCCCAGGAATGTCCCCCATTGGGGGGCTCTCACATCCTCATGTTGACTAATCGAATGGGAGCATGAGGAACGCTTCTCTTCTTGGTTTAGGACTGAGTTTAGGTTAGGTTTAGGTTTAGGATGAGTCCATTTACATTTAAACTTAGAAAGAACAATTGCTGTGTCTTAATTTAAGGGCATTTATTTAATTATCTTATTAAGAGTAAAAAAAAAAACTCATTCCGTCATATTTACCTACATAAATTAAAGGTAAATACACTAATTTTGTTAAATTTTTACTCATTTACAGAACATTTTTGCAATGTACCTGATCTCAGCCTGCTACTCCTACTGAACCTTTAAATTTTCATTGGAACTAAATGGTTCTATATTTTCAATTCTATTCAGTTTATTTCTATAGAGCCAATTCACATCAGGTCATCTCAAGGCACTTCCCAGTTCACCAGATCATCCAGTCAGATTGATTCAAAGTTTCCTCTCTAAGGAAAACCAGCTGATTGCATCGACTCATTGACTCTTCAGCAATCCCTCACACTAAGCATGCTTGTAGCGACAGTGGAGAGGAAAAACTCTTCTCCACATTGAAAGAAAGAAATGTCGAGCAGAACCAGGCTCAGTGTGAGCGGCCATCTGCTGAGGCCCACTGGGGTTCAAGGAGACA